TAGATCAATAGGTGCCGCTTTGGCAGGAAGGTAACGGTGCTCCATGCAGTCATGCCAGCCACATGACCTTGGAGGTGTCTACGGACAACGGCTTAGAAATGGAGATGAGCACCACCCCCCAGAGTCGAATACAACTGGCCTTAATGTCAGGGGAAAACCTTTACATTTACCTTTAGTGTAGTGTGGTTACTAACATAGTGGTTAATAATGAAAATTAAAGCTATGCAGAATAATAATACCATAAATGTATCTTATTCAGTGGCACAAAAATCGCTTTGCATTGAGAAACTCCTAGGTTCAGTTTCTGGCATTTCTCCAGGGTGAGTTGGAAAGGGTCCATCCTTAAACCTTGACAGAAAACGTGATAATGCCTGTTAAAGAGAAAGATAGTGGAAAAAGAGGGACATCTCACTATAAGTGAATTGGTTTAAGCAAACATGCCACACCACTAAGTTTGCAACCCTTACTCAAGGCTGCTGAAGAGTGGGGATCTTGGAGTTCATTCATTCGTAGAACCACCATAAATCAAAGTCAACTTACTAGTAAATAGCAAATACTTATTAAGAATGCTCATCCCACCAACTAAAACTTTACAAGGAAAACAAATCCCTATGTCCGAAGTGACACTGCCAGACGTACTTCCCTCTCCTCAAACACTCTCTGCTTCATTCTGGAAAATGCTGCACTTGCAGAAGACCACCAGCATTGAAGCGATGGTCCTCCAACATCAACTCCGCTGGGCCGGCCACGTTGTCCGGATGCCTGACCACCGTCTCCCAAAGCAGGTGCTCTACTCCGAACTTAAGAACGGAAAACGGAACGTTGGTGGACAGGAAAAGAGATTTAAAGATGGGCTCAAAGCCAACCTTAAAAACTCTGGCATAGACACTGAGAACTGGGAAGCCCTGGCCCTTGAGCGCTCCAGCTGGAGGTCAGCTGTGACCAGCAGTGCTGCAGAATTTGAGGAGGCACGAGTGGAGGGTGAAAGAGTGAAACGTGCCAGGAGGAAGGCGCATCAAGCCAACCCCGACCGGGACCGCCTTCCACCTGGAAACCAATGCCCTCACTGCGGAAGAAGATGCAGAGCAAGAATAGGGCTCCACAGCCACATACGGACCCACAAGGAAATCCATAATGGAAGACCATCTTACTCGTCCAACGAGGGATCGCCTAACTAACTTCCCTCTACTAAAGTAGCATCAGCAGAAAAGACAATTTCGACATTGTAGATATTTTGTTGAAGTCCAAAACCCTCTTCTGCTTACAAGCCTTTGTGTAGTCCAAGACTTCTCAAATTATCCAATGTGGACAGTCAACCATTTCCTCCTCACTACATAGTTTATTGGAAAACCACCGTGGACCAACAGCAGCTATCTTGTAAGAGAGAAGCAATCTACACAATACCACTTTGAGGGACATCAGTGTAGTCAGAATTGCTAGGAATTTCATGGATATATGGTTTCCCTTCATGAACTACATCAACAGAAAAGATTGGCCGGGAAAAATACATACACTCACATGCACACAAATATCAGCTCATCTAAACTTTTAGAGGGGTGTCTTCAGTACAGATGTTTATATTTATATCTGGTTATATTTTTCTCCAGTGTAAGGATTTAAAAACTTGTTTGCTTGTTTTATAAGCCACCTTTTGATGAGAGTGGGACCCATGCTATTTCCTTTCACATCAAAAGAAAATAGCATGATGGGGGAACTGAGGGAGTGTTTTAAAATAACTTGTTCATAGTCTGCAAGTAGCTGTAGGAAGAGCTCATTAGTAACTGAGTGATACACAAGATTTTGAACAATGGTTTGTCTCTGATAGCCTGATTTAAACAAATGCCCTACATTATCAAAATCTAAGTTTGGAAAGCATAAAACTCTAACAAAGAACCAGGAGATCAGGCTATGTAGCAAAGAACATAGGTCCTTCAATCCATGGGCTCGATCTAGATTTAGTCAGGAGTATACCCAGTGAAACCAACCTGATTTGAGGTATGTTCTCCCATTGATTTCAACTGCCCCACTGTAAGAATTCAGAGGTGCCAAACTTGTGCCCCTTCAGATGTTTGGACCTCCAACTCCCTGAGGCCCTAGCCAGTTTATCCAATGGTCAGGAATACTGGGAGCTGAAGTCCAAAACACCTGGAAGGCCACATGTTTGACACTTCTGCATTAGATCTGTTGTAAAGAATGGGATCATGTAGCCCTCTAGATGTTATTGGACTGCAACTCTCAGCAGGCCTAGACAGCATAGCTAATAGTGAGGAATGCTAGGTCTTGCAGTCCAAAAATCCATCAGGGGCACTTAGGATATTTTTCAAGTCTTTGGCTTATCTTCAATTGCAAAAACTTTGGACTCACATTGAATGGAATGCTGGCTGTCCCCATGATGCAGAGTGGCTTCCAAGGAAGATTGTGACATTTTATTTTTTTGCTTTAAACTATCTACCTTATCACATGGGAAATCTTCCCCCCACCAGTGCCATTTTGCCAGGAGGTGAGGGGCCACACTTTCTGCATCACGTGATGAAGCATAACCCAAACAGGGCAGAAGCGTGCTGGCTCCATTGGAGCCAGCACAACACAGGAAGCCTCCTGTGTTGTAGGGAAAGCATCCAGCGACACTTTCACCTTGGCGGCATGGTCTTCACTGGAAGTCACATGACATTATGTGATGGTTGACATGGGGCTCCATCCATTAGATGGGGTAAAAGCGTCCTAGAATACTACCCCCCCCCATCTTATATGGTCCTTTGGCCTACTTTGGGCAAAGATGGGGGATACTCCAGCATAGGGAAAATGGAGGGATCATGTCCAGTGTGATCTCCCTTATTCTTCTTGGTCATGTGGGCACCTGTTCTGACACCTGTTCTGACAATTTAGCATAAACCCAATGTAGTATAAATGTGCATAATGTAAAAGCAGGTTTAGAATTTTAGCTTAAAATCTATGATCACCATAAATTTTACCAGGTATTGTTGAGTCAATCATATCTTTCAATTTCTACATCTCAAGGATACTAATAAACTAAAGGGGTCAATAAAGGCCCATTTATACCATCTATCTCATTGTTCTGAAGCGTTTCAATCACTATCTTTCAAATTTCTTAAATAATTATCCTTTCTCCTCTCTCCAAGGGATACCCTAACTATAACTATAAAGGGCCGAGATCAATAAAGGAACAATTCCCTCATTCTAGTACCATCACTGAACGCATGGAGGAAGCTTAGAGCCGAGTCAATATGGAAATAGAGTTTAACCCCCCCCCCCCCCCCCCCCCAACCCATCTCCACCAGACACTGCCATCCAGGACTCAGTCCTCCAAAGAAGAAATCAGCTTCTTACAGCTGTGGGAAATGGTGAGTGTGCAACAGGATAAATAAAGATGTCACTAGTGTGTTTGTGTGTGAACCCTGAAGAATTCTCCAACTTACTGATTAGTCCCTAAGTAGTCCCTAAGACAGCTCCAGGTCTATAAGAAAATAAAGTAAAGTAAAATAAAATGGAATGTTTCCTGTCAAAGATGCAGTAATTCTGATAGAGATGGGGCTATTTCTCTCCGTTGCTTGCTTGTCTTCTCCCACAGGTTATTATCAGCACTATTCGGCTTAGCTGTCATTCACAGTGTTGTCCTTATTACAATTTTTAGTTGAACTTCTATGTGAGACTTCATTGGTGCAAAGGCTTTGTGGTTTTCAGCCTGACTGGCACCAGGAAGTGGGCAGAAATCATCTCCTAGATTGGCAGAATGCCTGCCTGAACTTAATTATGGGGAAAATATAATGGTGTATATCCCTAAAGAATTTAGAATGCTCTTTATTACCCTGAATGCTTCTTTCTAAAAGGTCCTTTCAGAGAAGTCGAGAGGTTCTTTCCCCGCTTACAGGCTGTCATTTCCTCTTCTAACAATGAACTATTTTAAGGCAACTCTATAGCAATTTCCTATATTATACTGTCCCTACTTCCTTGGCCCAGACAAACCAGCCTCCTCTTCAGAGGAAGAAATGGTTCTCATCCCTCCTAAGTAACCTTGCCAAAAATCAGCTGGCAATTATCATAAGTGCCTATGCACCAACACTAGATGCTGATGAAGACATCAAAGAAAAATTCTACTGTCAGCTGGATACATCCTATCTGAGATATGCATGGAGGATAAAATCATCATCCTGGATTATTTTAATGCAAGAGTTGGAGAGATTTCGACCTGTGGCCAGAGACTATAGGGAAAGATGGGGTGGGAAACAGCTCACTTCTCATCCTACTTCTCACTAAATGTGTGGAACAAAACCTTGTCATCACTAATATGTTCTTCTGCCAGAAAAATCAGCTTAAGATGTCATGGAAGCATCCCCGTTCAAAGCATTGACATCTCGTAGATTATATAATTATATGTTCCAGAGATTGCTGTGATGAACTTCTCATAAGAGCCATGAAAAGCTTTGATTACTGCTATACCGACCATTAATTCGATACCCTATAGCCATCAAGATCACTCCCATATATAGACTCCAAGAAAAAAGATAAGGTGTAAAGTCCTTCAAGAGCCCTCTAAATATGCCTTTTTCCAAACAACATTCAAGGATCATCTATCTATGGAACACACTGAAAATACTGAGGAACATGGGGATTAAACGGAAGATGTCTATCATTAATAATAATAATAATAATAATAATAATAATAATAATAATACTTTATTTATATCCCACCAGCATCTCCCCGAAAAGACTTGGGGCAGCTCACAAAAGCACTCAATAGTGCAAACATATAAATATAACAAAGTACAGTGTTGCCATCAGTGTTGCCTCTGAAAAATCCTGCAAATCCCTTGGGAAGACAGGCACACAAACATCAGTGTTCCGGAAGAAGCAAAGACCACCAGCATTGAAACGATGTTTCTCTACCATCAACTTCACTGGACTGGTCACATTGTTGAAATGCCTGATAATTCTCTCCCAAAGCAGTTACTTTACTCTCAGCTCTAAAACGGAAACTGGAATGTTGGTAGAAAGCAAACGAGATTTAAAGATGGGCTGGAAGCTAACCTTAAAAAATCTGGAAAAAACACACAGAACTGGAAAGTTCTGGCCCTAGAGCATTCTAACTGGATGTCAGCTGTTACTGACAGTGCTATGGATTTTAAAGAGGTAAGAATAGAGGGTAAAAAGGAGAAACATGATGAGACAAAAATGCATAAAGCCGAAACCTTGTCAGGATCTCCTTCCATCTGGAAATCGATGTCCTCATTGTGAAAGACAATGCGGATCCAGAATAGGTCTCTACTTTCACTTATGGGCCCATCACTAAGTCTCTACCCTTGCAAGACAATCATACTCGGCCATGAGTGATTGTCTTGTGCTATGGACACAGCTGGGAGTCTGGCACAGACCCTAAAGAGCAGGGTCAACATTTCACAAATACATAACACAAATGCATCATATCCAACATGTCATCAACTAAAGTTTATTTGAAACTCTTATTTTTAATAACAACAACTTGAGATTCAGTGATCAATTAGTATCTCTTTTATTTCTCTTCGAAAGCACGGTGCATGGTGCAGAGATCCAAATTCAGACTGTGTGTCACTTTCCCATCAAACACCTGCCAAAAGACATAGAGCAAAATCAGGCACAAGAGAAACAAATTGGAAGTATCAGCATACTAAGGATATCAAACTGCATTCATTCTACAGTCCAGATGCACCCCATAGTAGCAGGATAGTGAAAGTAGAGGTGAATCTATAGAGAAATCTGGCACTCTACCAACCAAACTACTCAACCCATTCATAACATGGTGGCAGGTTTCTTTCAAAAGTATTAGTTGTTGGAAATTTAAACTTTATTCCATAGGCACATAAAGTAGCCACAAACCTGTTTTGGACTCTCTGCCATTACTCTGCATCAGAACAATAGCCTGTTTCTGAGTTTGATCCTGCACATGGATTTCCCCCAGCTGTGGGTTCAGGATTGTCACACTGTCTTGTTCGAGTGCGCTCTCCATTTTTACATTCAGACCATTTAGACCAGCAGTTCCATCCCCCATTAGTGGCAACCTGACCTGTAATAAGATATAAATGTTTTGTTAGTTTAACAAGATGTAGATTAAAATGGTGGTGGTAGAGTGAATTGACCCTTTATCTTCATCAGACACTGTGAGCCAGGACTCAGTTTTCCAAAGAAGAAATCCTCTTCTCACATCAGAACACCAAGATCAATTTCAGCACAGTTCTTACAACAGGTCTTAATATCTGATGCTCCTAATGACATCCAAAATACAATTAGGAATGTAGGTGGGTGGGTTTTTTTGAAATGTCACCATTTGCAATGGAGAAAGCACTTACAGCTAGGAGGGGTGGTGGGAAATTTGTATCTCTTTCCTCATTTGTGGCTTTCTCTCTTCAAATTTCTCATCTGTCAGTGGTGTATCTGCACTGTAGAATTAATGCACTTTGACTCCACTTTAATTACCATAACTCAATACTATGGGATATTTGATTTTGTACTTTTGTGAGTTCTTTCCTCTCCTTTGCCAAAGAGTGCTGGTACTTCACCAAACTCCCAATACTCTATAGCATTGAGCCATGACAATTAAAGAGGTGTCAAACTACATTGATTCTACAGTGTTGATCCATCAAATTCTCCATTATAGATTGTCAGATTGTCCCTTCATTACCCCAGCCTTGCTGTTTTGCAGCAGTGTGATGAAGAATTTGGGTCTTGGTTCCACAACTCTATAAAACTGCTCCTTTATCTTTGACACAAAGACAGCAAAGGGACTTTCTAAAATAATCCTGCCCAACCTGCCACCTTCCAAATGTACTGAATTATCATCTATATCAGTGGTTCTCAACCTGTGGGCCCCCAGATGTTTTGGCCTTTAATTCCAAGAAATCCTAACAGCTGGTAAATTGGCTGGGATTCCTGGGAGTTGAAGGCCAAAACATCTATATCATACTGAGCTTTATCATATCATTCCAACTTCAGAGTCAGAATTGCAGACTTAAGAATCCTGGCACATTGTCAGGCACATTGTTGTAGTCCCCCCCCCCTCCCCAATATGACAGGACATTTCATATGTCTCCACTGACCACATAAATAAAGTAGCAGTTCTGGCAAGTGAGATCTTGCCAGAACTGTATTCTGGCAAGATCTTAAAAGCTACTATCTTTCTGCAACACTTGGAATAATTACCAAGTGTGATCTAGGAAAAAATACACACATGTGAATGTGCACTACACCCTGTCTGATTTGCCAGTATTTGAACTTGAAATTCCACCCATTACTCGAATTTAAGAGACAAAGGAACATTTCTGGATCGGAAGACTTAAAACTCATGTAACCCCAGCCTGGAGGACTGCTTTTAACACCATCAGTTACTTTGAATGCACCATCCTGTACAGGTCGAACTGCTCTCATCTGGAATTCTGAAATCTGAAATAATCCAAAATCAAAAATAATCTACATGGGTGTCTTATTTCTGTTGGACTAATGTGCAAAGACTGCTTTGTGCACAAAAGTATTAAATATCAGGTTATATGTATATAGTGTATATAAAACATAAATGAATTTTATGTGAAGAGTTGAGTCCCATCTCTAAGATATCTCATTATACATGTATTCCTGCTTCTTGGCAGGGGGTTGGACTGGATGGCCCATGAGGTATCTTCCAACTCTTTGATTCTATGTAGTTATCAAAAACCAAGATTATGGCAACAAGAATGATTGACAATTTGAAAATAGAGGGAGAAACCGTGGAGGCCGTGACAGACTTTGTATTTCTAGGTGCAAAGATTACTGAAGATGCAGACTGTAGCCAGGAAATCAGAAGACGCTTACTTCTTGGGAGGAGAGCAATGTCCAGTCTCGATAAAATAGTGAAGAGTAGAGACATCAGACTGGCAACAAAGATCCGCCTAGTCAAAGCCATGGTATTCCCTGTAGTAACCTACGGATGTGAGAGCTGGACCTTAGGGAAGGCTGAGCGAAGGAAGATCGATGCTTTTGAACTGTGGTGTTGGAGGAAAGTTCTGAGAGTGCCTTGGACTGCGAGAAGATCCAACCAGTCCATCCTCCAGGAAATAAAGCCCGACTGCTCACTGGAGGGAAGGATACTAGAGACAAAGTTGAAGTACTTTGGCCACATCATGAGGAGACAGCAAAGCCTAGAGAAGTCAATTATGCTGGGGAAAGTGGAAGGCAAAAGGAAGAGGGGCCGACCAAGGGCAAGATGGATGGATGGCATCCTTGAAGTGACTGGACTGACCTTGAGGGAGCTGGGGGTGGTAACGGCCGACAGGGAGCTCTGGCGTAGGCTGGTCCATGAGGTCACGAAGAGACGGAGACGACTGAACGAATGAACAACAACAACAACAGATGTCAACGCAACGATGGACAGGGTATAGGGATTTTATCTTTGAAGATCCTCACCGCTATCACCCATTGAGAGGAGGTGCTAGTGTGTTGCTGAGGTTGGCAACGGCAGGCCCTAATAAAGGAGGTATTTTACCTCAGGCACTTTTTAATCCCACCACTGCCACCAATTGTACAGATGTGGATGTTATGGAAGGAATTTACCTCAGGCCTCAATTGTGTAGAAGAGTATATTATGGAGGAGGCCAATTATTATTTGTAAATTAAGGTAACTGCCACCAACGTGAGGTATTTGAGGTACCACCGATGAGATCTGGCTCTACAGACGCAGATTAGTTGAGATGAGACGGTTTTCAACAAAAGATAACAAGTTTATTGTGTACAAAGCTTATAGTTGCAGGCTGTTAAATAACTTATGGAACTTTGAATATCACGTGGTTTATAATACAGTCCACTCTTCCAGATAACACAGCTTGTGGCTAACTTTCACTGAGGTGAAGCTCTCTAGTGAACAATGTTTCACTACTATAAATAGCCTTTCAATTTGATCTTCCCTCGATCAAATCTCTGATCTCTAGTCCTTCCTTAACTAGGGATCTTAACTAGGCTTCCTTTAGTCTTCTTTGACTAAAGAATCTGGCCAGGTTTCTTTCTTCAGCCCTCCTAGACTGAAAAACACCAGCCGCTCACACACAAGCCTCTCTCTCAGGCCTTTCCAAGCCTCTCTCTCCTGCTTTTTAAAAACGCACATAACTTTTCCTGCTTGGCTCCGCCCACTTCTCCCTCTCATGAGCTAGCCAGCCTCGTCTCCTTGGCAACGCTCACTGTGGATTCAAACCAGATGACTCCAGTTTTAGCTACTGTTACAAACACAAATACATACTCTAACAGTTAAACACAAACATAATAACAATGGCTTCTGCACAACATCTGTCCCCATAAATATCAGATTAGGGATATCCAACCTGTCGTTTCTTAAAATGGCACCTTTGAGATAGTTTATGCTGCTGATGAAGACAAAAGCTAAATCATCTTGCAACAACATTCAAATTATTTTTGGTTAATTGTGGTTATTAATATATTTAAGTGATTAAGAGATTGGGATGTATCTGTGAAGAAGGAGTCCTTCATAGCAGCTGCTTCCAAGTGAGGCCAGGATGGCTCCATTTCTAAAGTAGTTATGAATGCATTTAAGTAATTAAGAGATTGGTATGTATCTGTGAAGAAATAAAAGGCATGTCCTACTTCACTCAAGCTGAAAGGAAACCCTTAAGGAAAATGTTAGTGCAACTTCTAACCTGGTACAAAAGTCAACGTGGGTGTCTGACAGACATCTCCTTTGAAATAAGGGGTGCATCCACACTCGCAATTTCCATTGATCAGCAGGACAGTCCCACCATTTTGACAGGGCTGACACTTGCACACATTGTATTCCGCAATATAGTCTTCAACTCCTCTGTCAAGATTTCGTTTTTTTATTGTGGAGTCAGGCATTTTCAATGGAACAAGCTCAGAGATTGGGGATAGCTGAAAAAAAAAGTTTGGAACATGTTAATATATGCATGTTTTTAAATTAAGCACTTTATTATCAGGACTAAAAATGGTGTAGTCAGATAGCATCCTTTACATAGAATGGTAAAATCATGGCTTACTTTATGGATTGAAAAATTTTTTTTAAATCTATGTGTGGTAGAATTTATGAATACAGAGGGCTGACTATATATATTTCTGCAGAAAGATGTGCCCACTATTTCTACAGCATGGAAAGCACCCAAACATTCCCTCCTTTTTTTTATATAGCTCCCCATTGAAAATCTAGTTTGGCTAAATTCATATGAGATCCAATAGTTCTCTCAAAGTGTGTGGGTTTCCATCTTTGGTGAGACCAAGGGATAAAGGGCAAAATGAGCAGGAGAACCTCCGCATGAATCAAGCCTGGCATACCACAAAAAGGGGAAAGTTCTCATCTTAAGGGGAAGGCTACATAAGTTCAGAAAATGCTGCATTTAACAATGCCTAACTATACTGACACACACTTACCCAAGCATGATAACTTGTAACACTTCCTCCTCAGCACTTCAAGGATCAATGGGGCAGGGCCTGCCAAGCATCATGTGATGGCGCTTGGCAGGCCCCGTCTCATAGGTGTTGAAAGGAGACAAAATGCCCAGTTGGCACTGTTCCAGTCTCCCTTTTCTGAATATGTGCAAACAATCAGTATTTTCTAGACCACGGGTATCAAACTCATTTTCACCAAGGGCCACTTCAGCCTTATAGTTGCCTTCAAAGGGCTGGTTGTAATTATAAGACTGTATAAATGGAACTTTGTTGCCATAGCATTAAAAGCCTCACAGCCCACATAAACTGATGTGGTGAGCTACATTTGGTCTATGAACATTGTGTTTGATGTATGTTCTAGACTATCTTCTTTGTCAGTTGCTCTTTTAACAACATTGTAACTGCCTTTGATTCCTATATTGGAAGAAAGGTGAGATAAAATTGAAGTAATTAAATAAAAATAAAATGTGTGATATGATCCAATTATGTTATTTATTTTACTTTCTTGAGTTATTTTTTTCTACATATTGCATTATTTTATATGTGAGGATGGCATTACTTGATAGCAGGGGACCTTTAACAATTGTTTATTTTAAGGGAAAACACTTTTTTTACATTGGCTCTATCCCTAAAGGCTTTTAATGTCACGATTAGTCAACCTATAGCCATGGTCCCTCACTAGGCTTCCTTTAGGGATGCATCTATACTGTAGAATGCAGTTCAACACCACTTCAACTGCCATGTTTCAGTGCTATGGAACCCTGAGAATTCTAGTTTTAGCTATTAGACCATTAGCTTTTTCTACCAAATAAAGCTGGTGCCTAACCAAACTACTAGGGCTGGGCGGTTTCGTTTCGTTAATTCGTAATTCGTTAATAATTCGTTAATTTTTTCAATTACAAAACGATAACGAACCATTCTGGAGCAATTTTTAAAAAAACGAATTTTTAAACACGTTTTGTAAATGCTTCGTATTTCGTTATTGTATTCGTTTCGTTATTGTTCTGAGGTCGTTTCGTTATTATTTCCGCATGTCTGGGGCAAGTTTTTTGTTTAATTAGTGAAAAAAAAATTATAATATCACACCAACAGTCAACAACAGAGGGAGAGGGAAGCTTCAGAAGTTTTGGAGGTTTTTTAGCGTATTTCGCAGTCACGTCCGCCATTAACGAATCGATTCGTTATTGTTTCGGAAATCGATTCGTTAATTTTTTACCATTTACGAAATTTCGTAAATATCGAACTTTTTAAAAGGAAAATTTTGTAATTATTTTAAATATTGAAACAAAAAAAAACCCCAAATACAAATCGATTTTAGAAACAAATTTTTCCGTTGTTACCCAGGCCTACAAACTACATCTCCCACAATTCTGAGACATGGCATTTAAGATGATGTCAAACTGCATTAATTCTACAATGTAGATGCACCCTCAGTTAGATCTGCAAGTTTCTTGGAAGCCTTGGAATGCCTAGTTATTTCTGAAACACACTACAATTAGGCTCTAGTTCTAGTTGGGCAACATGTAGTACAAATAATAAGGTACAGAAAGGATTTTTAGATCCTGTGTGTGTGAGAGAGTGCAAAGCAGTCCTTGATTTCCTCGTTCTGAAAGGACCAGTGCCATGCCAACAAAACTATCCATATGGACATTTAGAAGGAAAATGCACTTACCTCCTGTGATATTATTACAGGAGCATCAGCGAGTGTAGCTGCCCATTCGACATAGTCTTCAACATTAGTAACCTTGTTACCTTTAGACAATTGTTCCTTCAACTTAACTAAAACAGTAGTCTTCCCTCCTTGAACTATAGAGACCACATCATTGATGAGTGAAACTGTTGTTTTGTTGCTAACTACAAGAGGGAGAAAACAAAACAGATGAAGAATGGATTAGGGATTCTTGGACAGAACAGTGATGCCACGCCACAACCTGATTTCCATTTTCCAATGGGAAAACTTGGGGTGTGTATGTGGCAGACTGACTAATCAAGTGAAGAGTTGCTTGATTTTACTGTTTCATCCTTTCTTGGGAGAAAAGTTTTAAGCAGAAGTAGCAACAGCAAGAATAGAGACATAAGTCAAAACTTGGGAAGCCTGGAGAAACCTGGGCACAAGCAGCCCTGATACATTGAGCATTAAGGGAATTCATCAGGCTTAATAGTCGTGGTATCATGGACATGGAAGAGACCATAGGGTCATCCAGTTCAATTCTATGGCATGCAGGAATACACAATCAAAGTAGCCTTGACAGATGCCCATCCAGGCTCTGCTTTAAAACCCTCAGAAAAGGAGATTACAACACACTCCAAGGCTGCAACAGCTATTATTGACAGAAAGTTCATGTCAATGTTTTCATAGAATCTCTTTCCCTACAGTTTGAATCCATTACCTCTAGAGCAGCAAAAACACAAGTGTACTCCATCCTCAATCTGACAGCCCCTCAAATATTTAGATATGGCTATCATGTCACTTCTTCACTTTCTCGTCTTCTCTTCTCCAGGCTAAACATACCAAACTCCTCAAACTGCTCCTTATGAGGCATGATTTTGAGATTTTTTTTTTATTTTGGTTGCCTTACTCTGGACACCTTCCATTGGTAGCAGCAGGGTGGCCAATCTTTAGCAACATATGAATAACTTCCCAAATCATCACATTTTTGCACTGAAAAAGCAGTTTATCATTGAGTGTAAGAACACAAAACAATGTGTTTATAGTGAGGAGTCCAAATACATCTTTGACTTCCTTAGTATATTTTCTAATACAGGTAGAGATGTGTGTATATGTGGTAAGTAGTTAGGTAGAAATTTTCCTTTTCTGAAAGCACACCTCTGGGGGGATATAAATGCAAAGGAAAAACATACCTTGTCTCATTTTTTCAGTTGTGCACTTGGTATCGGATACAGGCACTCTAGCATCAAAATCAGAAGATTTTATACCAAATTCTACATTATATCCCAGACAATTTTTTACATCTGTTATGGTAACACCTGAAAATGAAAATATCAACATTATTAGCGGTAGAAGAGGGAAAGGTGGAGCTATGTGTTTCCTTAATCAAGAAGTACTAAAAAAATTCACAAGGAAATTTTATTTAGGTTACCCATAAAGATATATATGGGCCAGGACATTGCATATATTCCTATAGCTGGATACAAAGCAGCAAGGTATCCTCCATGATGTGGTGAAGATCAATCTGTAGTGATATACATGGATGCTTCTCTGCACACACCCCTGTTGGTCAATAAATGACTTGAGTTGGAAAAAAATATGAGTTGGCTGTACTAAGTAAAATATGGGTAAAATATGAAGAAATATGAGGGAATTTCTTCATTGTAAGAGGTCAGCAGAGAATCTGAACTTCATCCAATGACAAACAAACAACTTAGACATATTTTTTCATTTAGGCTTGCAGGAATCACTTACAGAAATCATTAAACCAGCTGTCAGAATTTAAGAGACAATTGAAAACCTATCTCTTCCCACAGGTCTACCAGTCAATTTTTCGCTATGAATTTTAAATTTATGTCTTGTGGGTTGTTGTAGGTTTTTTTGGCTATATGACCATGTTTTAGAGGCATTTCTCCTGATGTTTCGCCTGCATCTATGGCAAGCATCCTCAGAGGTAGTGATTCCGGCCATGAAAGCCTTCCACAATTTATGTCTTGTGTTTACCATATTTTATTCTTTGTCCTGTATATTTTAATATATGCATTTCATATACATATATGTATTTTACCTAATATTTTATAATGATGTGTTTTTAACTGTGTTCTGCCCCGCTCAAGAAGAGGTGGGTAAGGAAATAATAATAATAATAATAATAATAATAATAATAATAATAGTTTCATCTATTCATTTTCATCATGCTCTGCTCTTCTTCCTCTCATTATTTGCAACCATGAATACATCTCTCCAACCGTTTTAACATAGCAGGAGCAATTCTGATTATCTATTTCGGTTTACACTAATTCTAAAATACAAAGTGGTCCAGAAGTCAGTTCTGTCCAAACAATATCCAGATCCTTCTGATCCTTAAAGCAGGGTGAGTTGGGCTGAAGCATTTTATAATAATATATGATAATTAATTTATTGCTCTCTTCTCCCTGCAGCTCGAGGTGAGTTGGGTACAACATTATTAACACAAGAGATAAATCACGATTAAAAAGCATACAATAAGATACACAGAGCTAAAATACAAGTTAAATTCCACTGATAAAATGCAGATTAAAATTCACAGTTTAAAATTGACTGGGTAGGCCTCCTGAAAGAGATGGGCCTTCAATTGTGTCTTAAATGTTGACAGCTGATCTATCTGTCGAAGCTCTTCTGGCAGGTTGTTCCACAGTCTTGGGGCAGCTGATGAAAAGGTCCTCTGGGAGACTGTTGCCAGTCGGGATCTGGCAGGCTGGAGTAGCCATCCCTCAGAGGACTTAAGTGTGTGGAACAGATTGTATAGGAGAAGGCAAACCTGTAGGTAACTTGGACCCAAACCATGTAGGGCTTTAAAAGTCAAAACCAACACTTTGTCCTCTGCCTGGAAACTAATTGGCAACTATTGGGATGACTATAGTATAGGTGTATTATGCTCATTCCTGGATGTTCCTGTGACCAATCTGGCTGCTGCATTTTGAACTAATTGGAGAACATGGTACAGAGGTAGCTCAATGTAGAGTGCATTGAGGTTACAAGATCATACACTACTGTCTTTAGGTCCTTGGATTTTAGGAAGAGGTGCAGCTAGCATATCAGCCAAAGCTGGTAGTAAGCACTCCTGACTCCATGGTCTAGTTTCTTTCCCTCTTTGTCCTTCAACTGCTATAAAATGAGGATCTTTTGACTCAGATTGGATTTATATTTTTGCAGAGAGTTTAGATCCATGCATATAATATTTAATAGGTCATAATAAACACCTTGAATTATGCCCTCAAATGAATCATAGTCAGTGAAATTCTTTAAACAAAGAACAGAATTATATACTCCTGCTCTCTGACAACAGGATTTGGAGCCCATTGGTGCAATCACACACAAAACATGTTAAAGTATTCTGAACAAGATGTAATTAAAAGATGTCTTAGTATAGCTAGATCTGACATCTTCAGGAACTTGAACACTAATCTATTACCAAAAATATATATCAAAACAGTCATGGAATTGGATGGAAAGGAGGGATAGAGTCAGGTCTTGACAACATACTGGTGACATAATATCCATAAACTCCAGATAACCATTTTCAGCAGGTTCATATGTACATTGAATAACTGAGTTCCAAGGGGCTCTACAGCTCAACAGCCATGGTTTCAGTCAGGAATTCCCCAGCATCATATTTTGAGTCTGTTCTTCCAAGAAGGCATGAGACCATTCTTTCTGAGAAGAAGTCTACTCTCAGAAAGGAAGCCCAGTAGGATACCATGGTTGTTGGTTCTGAATGCTTCTTAGAAGTCCAAACAAAGTCAATTGGGACATATTCCCCAGTTCGTAATATAGGATATCCAACAAGGTGGCCAAAGCTGGCTGGGTCCCATAATCAAGTATGAAGTCAGATTTAAATGGATCTAGTTAATGTTTTCATCCAGGAACCCCTGGAGTTGGGAACCTGAAGCTCATTGGCTGATGTTGAGCCAATCACCATCTCTGCCTGACTAATCTCACAGAATTGCTGTGAGATTAAAAATGATGGAGATCAAACCAACTAGGAGGGATTTCCACATAAGAAATAAATACATATTTAGTGTAAAAAAAATGGAATAAAGAAATAATTTTTTTTAAAAACTTAATCCAACTTCAGTGTTGAAAAAGGCTAGTTTTTAAAGGGCAGCTTTTAAATGAACAAGCTCATACTTCGGTTTTAATTTTAATCCTTGCCACTCAGTTACCCCAGAATTTAACTAATATGCATGAGACTTTGATTCTGCGTTCCTACCTTCTTTTTTCATAGTTTCACTGTCCAATACATATAGTAATTCATATTTTCCTCCAAAAACTCCCTTCTTTGCATAATGAGTTCCGTGTGTTTCCAGAAATTTAAAATACTCTCCCCTGTCATATGTAGTAGGCAAATTTTTTATGTCATCAAGGAACCAGTCATTTAGACGAAGATCGCGTGTTCGCATAATAAATGATCCTAGCTCAATGCTTGATCTCACATGTAGAAATAGTTGTTCCTGTAAAGCAAAAGATGTTAGTGTACTGACAATTCTAGCAAGAAAGTAGAAAAGAGAATTCCTTCCACTTCTTATGTTAAATGCTGCAATTCTTAACAAGAAAATATCATATTTTTTTACGTCATGGGGATAGCATTTTGATACCACTATGGACTCGGCAATTGTAAAGGTTCAGCCAGAAAGATCTGTTGTCTTGCCAAATTATGAATTCCAGCATTTCATAGAATGCAACCATAGCCATTAAAAGGACATTAAATATATACATTATATGATAGATATAAACTAGTTTAGCTGTTTATTTTGACAGCAAGGATTTTGGGGAAATGTAATTCTGTGTCACATGTGTATTACCATATTAAGGATTTGGCTGCTTATAAAATGTAAAATTCAGTTTTTCCTGATTAAAAACAATTTTAAGTAAGCTTCGTATTAATACAGTTAGCCCTTTACATTCACTGGACTTAAACCCATGGTGAAGCAGGCTTACCCGGAGGGTAGATGCCACCCCAGTAACTATTGGAATGGCACCCAGCCACACTGAAGCCCCCCAAAACAAGCTTTAAATTTCAAAAAACTTACCAGGCCACCATTACAGTGGTTGTTTCATCCTCCTGGCAGGGACCAATGATGCACCAGGAGATGGGGGCTTGGGTGGGTGGGGGGGGGGGTCAAGAGCGATTTAGTTTAAAGCTTGTTTTGGGGGCTTGGGGGGAAGTGGTGGGCACCATCTTGCACCTTTGAGCTCAWGGAGCCCAAAAGGTGTGAGATGACAAATGGGGACTCACCCCCAGGTAGTCCCAGGACTACCTGTGGGTGAGTCCCCACAAGCCCAATATCCTGTTAGACCCTGGTCTTTCAGGAGGGCCTGGATCTAATGGGGTAACTAATTAATTCTGAACAAAGCAGGAAAACTCTGCTTTGTTCTAAATTAATTCGCTTTTATCTGAGTCATTTGGATGCTTCAAGTAAAAGCGAGGCAGGGCCCACATTTTTGGGTCTGTCTGGAATGGCACTTAGAGGCACAGGGCCCCCATTAAAGCAGGAAAATGTAAATTTAAAAACGGATACTTTTTAACCTCAGAGAACACCTATTTAGAATTTTCTAGATTCTCCAGTGCAATGATAGGATTGATTTCTAGAAGATGTTGGCCATATAATTGCTTTGGAGACCTAGAGCAGTGGTTCCCAAACTTTGATCCATCAAATATTTTGGACTTTGAGTACTCTACCAATTTGTCCAATGGTCAGGAATTCAGTGACTTGAAGTCTAAAAACATCTGAAGAATCAAAAGATGGGAACTAGTGACCTAGAATTTTTCTCGAGGAAGCTTCAGATGTGCAGAGCTGCTTGTATGTATAGAATCAACACATTGTATCAGAGGTACTACCTATCACATTCTCTCTTCTGCTCAGTTGTTTAAAAGTGCGACATACTTCTTTATCATTCATTTATTAATGCCCATACCATAGGTCACTCACATTTGCACAAAGAAATACAATATGTAAAAAAGCAACAATATAGAAGGACAACAAAATAAAACATTTTAAAGGTACTACATAAAACACTTGGTAAAAATGACCCACCCTGGACATTTCAGATATATATACACATAACTGGCCTCATTTTCAAAAGAACTCTGAAGAGGCCAGTCACATTTGCAGGCAAAATGCCAGGAGAGAATGCTACTGGAACATGGTAGTACAGCCTGAAAACCCACAGCAACCCAATGATTCTGGCCACAACAGCCTTCGACAACACAATAGACACCTTCTTTGACCCAGCTGAAAGAAGAAAAACTCCCAGGCCATACGATTTTGGATTTATGTCATTCAAATATAAATTAAAGAGTAACAGTGCCTTGCTTTACTCATTCTTGTTTTGCTCATGGGAATAGGATCAGTTAGTGATGGCAACTTTTATTCTAGCAGTTGTGTCAGAATAGAGTTCCTTGATTAGAGATAATAGTCACTTATCATCTATCATGCTAGTTCCCATGTTGGTGACATACAGAGAGGTACCCAATGTTACACCTTGTCGGGTTTCATTAAGACATAGCAAATGGTGCAAAGAAAGAATTTTTAGAAATCTCTGGCCCAACTTACTTATTCTGGAGTCTTGAACAACTCTAATGGCAGATGGAATTTGAGATTCTTGCCCCAGGTTGGGGGTGAGTGTAAGGGGGGAATTCATGGCCACGTGGCCAAGAATAATATGATTGGAAATGAGAACTGCCTCTTAACAGCGAGGTGGGTTTACCATCTCACTATGTGTATTGTTAATGAGGTAACTTCAGGGCCAATGTAGTCTGGGGAAAATATACTTCCAAACATATTTTTTCAGCAGTGTAGACAAGCCCAATCAACAACATGTGTGTGTGTGTGTGTGTGTGTGGGTGGGTTGGGGGTGGGTGGGTGGGTGTTGTAACTTTCAGTCTGTAAAAGATTTGTTGTGGTGGTTGTTAATGCTACGTATGATGCAAAATTTCAGTTAGGTGTCATATTTTTTATGTCTTGCTTTTATCTGAAATTTAGCAAAGTTTATTGCCACAGAAGGGATACTTGTATCTGGTGGTATCAACCAGTTCTCAAACAAGACAAAAAGCTATAAGACCAACTATCAGAGACTTCTGAAAGAGGCCTTGTATAATTCGCCTTCCTGAAACCCTTGATGTCCTTGTCTTCTGGATTCTCATGGGGCAGGGGAGAGTTTACAGCAGTGTTTTTCAACCTTCCTAATGCTGCGATGCCTTAATACAGTTCCTTATGTTGTGGTGACCCCCAACCATAAAATTATTTTTGATGCTACTTCATACTGTAGTTTTTGCTACTGTTATTAATCGTAATGTAAATATCTAATATGCAGGATGTATTTTCATTCACTGGACCAAATTTGGCACAAATACCCGATACGCCCAAATTGGAATACTGGTAGGGTTGGGGAGGATTGATTTTGTCATTTGGGAGTAGTAGTTGCTGGGATTTATAGTTCACTTACAATCAAATAGCATTCCGAACTTCACCAACAATTGAATTGAACCAAACTTGGCCCCCAGAACTCCCATGACCAACAGAAAATACTGGAAGGACATGATGGGCAATGACCTTGAGTTTTGGAGTTGTGGTTCACCTACATTCAGAGAGCACTGTGGACTCAAACAATGATGAATGTGGATCAAACTTGACATGAATATTCAATATGCCCAGATGTGAACTCTGCTGGAGTTTGGCGAAAACAGACCTTGACATTTGGGAGTTGTAGTTACTGGGATTTATAATTCACCTACAATCAAAGAGTATTCTGAACCCCACCAACAATAGAATTGGGCCAAACTTCCCTCACAGAACCCCCATGATCAACAGAAAATACTGCGTTTTCTGATGGTCTTTGGTGACCCTTCTGACACCCCCTCGTGACCCCCCCACCCAGCAGGAGTTCCAACCACCAGGTTGAGAAATGCTGGTTTACAGGATGACACTTTGCACCTATGCAATTTTATTGAATGTCAGAGTGTGTTGAATGTGGCTTACTCCTAAGTATAAGTCCACATTTCTAATCTTATACTATATCAGATCTCACAATTCTCCATTTTTGATAACTTACCTTCCCTTTCGACTCGCGCAAGTAGTCCCTGATGCTACTGGAATGAGAAGCTGTGAAGTCTGTGTTGAAATCTGTTAATGTAATATTTCCCTCGCTTATTTCAGTGGGATTCATTTTTAGAGATAAGCTTGATTTAAAAGTTTGCAGTGTTTCACGTAGCACTTCTTTCAGGGCTGTCACTTGATCCTCATAGTACTCAGCTCTGAAGTTTTTCCCTCCTCGTGTCTTGGAGAGGATAAACAGAAATTTATAATTACATTGATGTTTAGTTTATAGATAAACCAATTCTTACCTCCACAGGCCAAAGACATATGTATAACATTGGTTAAGAATTAACACCAAATTCAGGGAGAGATTTGGATAAAAATAATCAGGGAAGCGAAGGAATCTCCAAATCAGCCAAAATAGCAATTCTATATCCTCTTCTCTATCCTCTGCCCTCTATCCTCTATTCTCTATCCTCTAACAGGCCCATAATAGTGTAAATCATATGGAAATAAAGGGTTGCATTAGACCCAATAAAGAGATCTTGGAAGACTACACCTCTGTGAAAAATAACAATGAGAATACATTTTGCCCCAATGCACCCTCGATGTTTGGGGAATGTTTCCACTATGATTTGTGGGGTAGGTGTGGTTCATTTTAGTGCTGGGGAAACATTTATTTAAAAACAGTCACTTTTGACTTATATATTTTAAGGCTTCTCTGGGCCTACAATAGTATAGGATTCCACCCCAAACATGGTGGAAATGCTCCCCACATACCCAGGAGAGTGTTTGGGGGCATTTGAGGACCATTTATTAAAGTAATGGCTAGGAGTTGTTGGTTTGTTTTGCATTTTTTGGGCACTAAAGGAATCTGGCTTCACATATATCTTGCATAATATACCTTAGTGTCAATCTTTGCAAATGGAAAGTTATGTATATCAGATAAAATACATTTTAAATTGAATGTGGTCAAAATATGTTTCATGAATGTTGAAATTATTCTACATAAAATCTACATGTGGTATTTTCATGCAGAAAAGAGCATTTTCTGTACTGAAAATAGCAGTTTCCTCACATAAAATGGCTCTGAGTCGCCTTCGGGCTGATATGAGCAGGGTAGAAATAATGCAAATAAATAAATAAATAAATACTTCTGCATAGAAATATTTTTTCCTGTATAAAAAAAATATCTTTTTCTGGATAGAAAATGCTGCTTTCCGCACAAAAATAAAATTTTGCATAAAGAATGCACAGAAAATAATAAATCAGAAAAAATAATGCAGAAGATGTACAAGAATATTATTTTCAGCCCATAATTAAGTTTTCTGTGTAAACACATCACATGAAAATTAAATAAAATTAGCAAAAAATAACCTAATAATAAGTGGCAATGGTGTGCAACAGAACACATACAAACAAGTGTGCATTCACTTGTATCCAAACATACAAGCAAATGCACAATTTAGTGCCCATGCATTCACAATGGCCCAAGAAGCACAACTTTATTTTCACAACCTTGAATTAAATGGGAAACATTCTATACTTGAAAAAATGCTAAGGGATGCCATAAGAAAATATACCGTAATGTTAGACGTTTAAGACTAACCATAATAAATACTGGCCAGCATTTTAACAACAAAAGGATAAGATGAATTAGGTATTATAGAGGGGAAAGTGATAACACAAAAATTTACCAAGAATTAATAGTTCTCCGGGTTTTAACTGCCTTCAGCATTCCACAATGTTTTAAAAAATGTTTTTGAAATTGATTATAGCACTCCTGGGAATTATGCATCCTCCCAGAAGATGTTGAACTGAATGTCTCAACATGTCTCACCCTTGCTATGATAGTTAAGACAGTCCAGCAACATCTGGAAAGCTGCATGATTCCTACTCTGAGATTTAAGTGTTCATTTGTATTTATTTATTTATTTATTTATTTATTTACTTCGCTTATATACCGCAATTCTCAGCCTAATGGCGACTCATTGCGGTGTACAACATAGAAAAACAGGTGCAAAATACAAACATAGTGTAAAATAATCCGCAGTACATCATTATCAAAACATCTCATCAAAAACATCAAACATTACTACAACGCCATTCCGAGTCGTCTCATCGTCAAGTTCACAATCCGATACCATTTCCGTTGTTCCATTCCTATGGTCAAGTTACCAGTCATTGCACTTCTATTCAAATGCCTTCTTAAACAGCCAGGTCTTTAGCTTCCTGCGGAATATCAACAGGGAGGGGGCTAGCCTGATGTCCACGGGAAGGGTGTTCCACAGCCGAGGAGCCACCACCGAGAAGGCCCTATCTCTCGTCCCCGCCAGCCGTGCCTGTGACGCAGGCGGGATCGAGAGCAGGGCCTCCCCGGAAGATCTCAAAGTCCTCGTGGGCTCATAGGCCGAGAGGCGGTCAGTTAGGTATCTTGGGCCGGAACCGTTTAGGGCTTTATAGGCCAATGCCAGCACCTTGAATTGAGCCCGGTAGCAGATTGGCAGCCAGTGGAGCTGGTACAGCAGGGGGGTTGTATGCTCCCTGCGTCCCGCTCCTGTTAGTATCATGGCTGCCGCACGTTGGACCAGTTGGAGCTTCCGGGCCGTCTTCAAGGGCAACCCCACGTAGAGAAATTTGTAGTGCTTTTGCTACTTAATAAGGTAAAACCAGATCCTGCTTTATTTTTTAAAAAGTAGCATATGTATAACATTATACTGAAGACAAAAGTAATACATTTACCTTAGAGCTAGTTGGAAGTCCAACAATTCAAGAAAATTGGCAGAACATAAAAGGTACACTCTTTACAGTATCTGAACCTACTACTAAAAGCAATCTCTATTTTTAAAAGTGGTCCTACCTCATAATTTAGCACAGCGACATTCCATGGCTTGCGATAATAAATGCCACTATTCCCATCACGGACTCTTTCACATGCCCCATTGTAAAACTCATTGTAAAATGGGCTTGCCTGTGGTTTCATACCTAGAACATTGATTCTGAGAAAACAAAATGTAATTAGATTGTTGAAAGGCTGTATTCTGATAGGGAGTGCATGTGTGCAGTGGCCAGCAATTCTGACAAAGGGGAAAGACAAAAATGTCTATAAAATCCTTAAGCCTTTGCTGTGATTGCTTCATGAAATACAGGAAAGACGTCTAAGAGCGCTAACACTGAAGATTGCTAGTTTCACTTCTGATAAGGAAGAAAATAAAGCTACAGGAACAAAATAAGAGGAAAAATCCCAATCAATTTACAATTCAGGATGGATTGATGTGTTACTGGGAATCACTTATCTCTGCTCTCTCTAAGGGCTTGTATTCACCAGGCCTTAACCCCATGGTGGACTCAAACCTGGATGTCCAAAAGATGTCCTTAATGCAGAGTAAACCAGGCTAATATTTTAAGCAAAGCTGGGGAATGCTTCAGAATTTTGCTGAAACTCTATAACAGCCATGCACTTTGGACTGAGTGTGGACATGGGCTGAATTCCTATTCCCTGATCTGGCTTCCAACTGACCAGGAGTTCCTCTGTCTTGTCTAGATTGTTTCATCTAGTCCATTATTGATGACAGGCATTGGTTTAGGGTCAGGGCAGCTTCCTGGGCATTAGGTAGAAAGGAGTAGTAGAGTTGGGTGTCATCTGCATATAGGTGACATCATATTCCAGAACTCTGGATGGTCTGTCCCAGCATTTTCTTGTATATGTTGAACAGCATGGGGGACAAAATTGAATCCTGAGGAACCTCACACTTTAATGGCCAAGGGTTCAAACAGGAATCCGCCAGGATCACCTTCTGAGTATGACCCCTCAGGAAGGACTGGAGCCACTGTAAAACAGTGGCTCCCAGTCCCATCCCAGCAAGACAACCCAGAAGATACCATGGTCAACGGTATTAAAAAGTGCTGAGAGATCCAGAAGAACCAAGAGGGACACACTCCCCCTGTCTAGCTCTCTTTGTAGGAAATCCACCAAGGTGACCAAAACTGTCTCTGTTCCACAGCCAGACCTGAAACTAGATTGAAATGGATCAGATTGAAATAGACCTTATCTGTGGGTCATGTCAGAACTCTAAGTTTGGCCTTAAAAACTGCCCTCAACTAGTACAAAGAGGTCAATTTGTGTGTGTGTGTGTGTGTGTGTGTGTGTGTGTATGTGTATGGCACTTCCAGTACTATAAAGAAGATCATCTTCTTTCTTTTGTTTTCCAAGGGACTAATGTTTACACTTTTTTAAAAAAATGTTAGGCAATCTAGTTTTAGAAAGGAGATCCACAAGTCTTTGTTTCTGATTTTTCTCACAAAAACTTCCCAACTCTTACCCATGACCAGCAATTCTTCCAAGCTCTGATACATCAAGAATACGATCACGACAGGGGGCAGGGCGGTAGTCCTCACAATCACCTTCATCAGACATATCTCCACAGTCATCCTCTGTATTGCATACCAGTCTTGTTTTTATACATTGTCCTAAGGATAATACAGAGAACAGAAGGCAAGATTTCTACCTTATAAGCTCTTTGCTTAGCACCCACCACCTACGATATCACAGTGATTGCTCAGTTTATATCAGGGATAGAAAAATGTGATCCTGAGGCTGTATCCATCCATACTTCAGAAGAGACAAACATTTCTCAAATATTTTGCAGGGCTAACTATGCACTGCTTGACATTGTAAAAAAACAAAGAAGAGCCTTGCTTTTTAAAACCAAGGACAGATTACAGGCCACTTCCTTTATTAGTTGCTTGAATTTTTCTTTGGGTTTAGGGGGCATTTTTAGCACCCCAGAAAGTCCTAGAGCAGTGGTTCTCAACCTGGGGTCCCCAGATGTTTTTGGCCTACAACTCCCAGAAATCCCAGCCAGTTTACCAGCTGTTAGGATTTCTGGGAGTTGAAGGCCAAAAACATCTGGGGACCCCAGGTTGAGAACCACTGTCCTAGAGCTAAAATATTGTCTTTGAGGGTGCCCTATGACACCACTTTAACTTTTGTAACTCAGTGCTATAGAATCAGGAGAGTTGTGGTTTTACAAAGGATTTGGCCCTGTCTGCCAAATACTGCTGACACTTCACCAAACTACAAGGCCCCTGATTCCATAGCATTGATATAGTGTCATATAGCAGTTAATATAGTGTCACATTGCATTTTTTTCCTCCCATGTAGAAGCACCAGAGATCTGCAAGATTTGCTTTGTTTCATCTAAATAGTTATGTTAATTGAATGACATGCTACCACCTCCTTGTGTATTGGTTTTGTGCAAGTATTTCATCTTTATCCTAGCACAGTGGTTCTCAACCTGCGGGTCCCCAGATGTTTTAGCCTTCAAGTTCGAGAAATCCTAACAGCTGTTAAACTGGCTGGGATTTCTGGGAGTTGTAGGCCAAAACACCTGAGAATCCATAGGTTGATAACCACTGTCCTAGCATCTCTCAGAACTGAACATTTAGTGACTATTAAACTTTAATGCCAGCCATTTATCAATCATTTTTTCAGTTCTTCAGCACTTCTGGCTCTCCAAAGGTGTGACAGTAGCCTGCTATTTTCTTCACCTGTTTTACTGCCTGTGAGGCATGACTCACTCTACCTAATGAGAATATGACCAAAATGAACTCCTTAAATTTTTTTTTGGGGGGGGGGGGATTCCACATGAAATCATTAATAATGTCAGCTGTTTTCTCCCAGTGAAATGATAGCATAAGGGTTTTAATGCAATTTTCATTGTGGCTGTTTTGGAAAAAGGTGTTTGGATCCATAAATGTAATTTCCTGCACCAAAATATCGCTGATGTTTCAGAAATCTGTGAAATGCTTTTTTTTTTGCACATTTTTCTTTAAAGAACATAAAGAGCAAAGCATTCCATGGCCTTTTTCTTTTTCTCTGACATCTTGATTTTTAAAAATGATTTTTTCCCATCAAGGTTGCAAAAATTAATGAGTATTCTTTAAATTTTAGGGGGAATGAGCATTTTTTCCATCCTCACCCATCTAGTGAAACCTGCACTGACTACTTAAACTAGAGTAAATCTATTCAGTCAGTTGTTTAGTGGTGATTCAACATATATGTAAATTTCAGTAGTTCAATTTACTCTAGTTAGTAGTGGAATTTAGGTTTTAGTCAGTTAGGGTACTTCCAGACAGCGCCAAAATGCATATTATCCCACATATTAATATGTGGGATAAACAAACCCGGGCCCTTAAAGAAGGTCCCCACACAGACCTGCCGTTCCTGGGCTTTCTTCCCCACTGTCCTCACAACCCTTCTGTGTCTCGGGATAAGACGGAGGGCAGACAGAGGACATCCACTGATGCTTATATGCGCACATACGAATATCATAATACAAATATGGAAAGATTCCTATCTGTGCATATAAGCATCAGAGCGTAATGGTGGCAAATCTTTTTTTAAAAAAATATCACCGGATTTCCCTCTTTCCCCAGTATTTAATATTATAAAGATTAAAATAGACACCTTCAGAGACCTCTAATGGCTCTCCATTTCTCTTCTCTAGAAACCAGCTGGAAATCAGCTATGTCTGCATGGGAGCCCAAACAGCTCATCAGCTGTTTTGGGCTTTTAAAAACCGGCATAGGGTGGGAAGCAGTCTTCACAGGGGGTAAAGAGGGACATCCCAAATTTTACATGACTGCAAGGCCACACAGTCATGGGAAAATCCACTATTTTTGCCTGGAACTGGGATAACGGAGGACCTTTTTGAATCAGGTTTTTTTGTCCATTGCTGTGATTAAGCACACACAAACTCCACTTTTAACCTGTTTTTTCCCAAATTATAGGTACTGTGTGGAAGTGCCCTTAAATACAACTTTAGCATCTACTAAAAAAATCAGTTAAAAGTATAAAATGGAAGTTGTGAAAGACACCATGGCATTGTGATTTGAGCATAGATGTTTGACTCTGGAAAACAAGGTTCAATTCCTCACTTGGCCATGGAACCAAATGAGTCATCTTACTCTCTCAGCCCCATGATAGGTTCACGTTAGGGTTGCTATAAGCCTAAGCCTGAAGTGATTTGAAGGCACACAATAACAAAATACTGTCTACCATTTTCACACTTGAAGTCTTTGCCACAGTCAACTTCCTCCTCATGGCAAGGGACATCTGGCTCACAGCTTTCTCTGTGTCCTAGAGGTTCCAGGCATGCCTTTCCTCCAAACTGTCCATACTTCAGGACACTCCTTGAGCGATACTATTTTTTTTTGGGGGGGGGGGGGGGGTGAAAATGTATAACATTAATGGGTAGAGTAGTGAGATGAGCTATGAAAACATAAATAGAAAAGTACAAAAGAGRTGTAAAACTGTATTCTTTACACAATGGGTTAGTAAATACAATTTTTGAGAAGTTGAYCCCCCCCCCCCCCACAGTTGACAACCTGATCAAGTGTTCAAATCAAGTATTTAATAGGTAGTCTAGTTTAGGTCAAGTCTTCCTGTATCATTCTGACACCAATTTCTTGTCTCCCTCTTCCTTAYTGTCTTTAGAGTGCTACCCAAAGCAGACGTATGGCAGATCTGGCCTTCTTGCTCCACTGTCAGTTTAGTGGCTGCTACTCAACTTCCTCTGTTACTTGTGCCTCTGTTGGCTATATCAGGAACTGAATATGATTTTCTAACCATTTTGAAGCTCATCATTGGGGACTGACCCCAAAACCAGCCAGAACAGCTATAACATAAGGTTGTTTCTGGACAGAGGCCTGTAATGAAATTTATTTTATATTTTAGTGATCTGAGTAGACTCTGATATAGCTGATGATATGCTCCTAGTTTGTCTTTCAATTTTCTAACAAGTTATAAAAACATTATTCTCATGTTCTTGTAGTTGATCCTACCACATATTTTATTACTGAAGAGTTAAAAAGATGTTTCATTGTATCTTTTAAACTACTCTTAATTAAAACATTTATAGATTTTTATGTTAACATTTATTGATGTGATGCCTTCCAGGTCTATTGACCTCCCATCATTCATGGATGACATGAACAACAGAGGGTACCAGGTTAAAAAAAATACCCTGTTGTACAAACCCACAGAGCAACCTTGTGCAAGTATCACTTCCTCAATCTCAGAAAAAGCCTTTGAACAAATCATGCCCCTTGTGCTAGGTTCACCTTAGGGTCACCATAGGTCTAAAATAACTTGAAGGTACACAAGAAGTCTTCTTACATTATACTACAGTTGGCCAGTAGGTGTCACTCTTTCTATTTCCATTACCCAAACAGAAATATCCAAAATGGATATTAGGTAGTTCCTGATACCAGACTAGAAGAGACTCATTCTACACTCATCCCTCCACATTCACTGGGATTCGGGGAAGAGGATCCCATGAAAGTGAAAAACTGAAAATAAACAAAAACTGCTTTTTTAAAACTGAGAGAACACCTCTCTAGAAATTTCTAGCATGCCTCTCTGGTCAATTTATACCAGACGCAGATCATAGAAGCACATTGGAGGACCTAGAGATCCTTAGCAAGAGCATTTTAAATTAAAAAATATGAATAATTCAATATATGGAAGACAAAACAACAAACATGGAGGAACAACTGTATTAAGGTTGACCAAATTTATGATTAACTGGTGGATTCACAGATTCTGTGAAATCAAAGGAGATTTTCCTCCTAGACCTTCATAATTTTTGGAACTTATTTAGGGCTATCAGATTGGGTGCAGGGCAAGGTTCCTGTAAATTTAATCCTGAACAGATTGTTGAACAGGAAGATGAATTGTAAAGTTCTGTCAAGTGGGGCAAAGATATTTGTTTACCTTCCAAACCTCAACTTTTAGCTGCAACAAGCTTTCTCTGCACAGATATTGTACCTCCAGTAGAGACTCAATAACTTCTTTTTCTTTATGGTGTTGTAAAACACCTTCCCCACTTTAGAGGTGTCTAATTTCTCTAATTACAGCAAAAGCTGTAATTAGTGGTCGGCCGCTCATGTCAACTCGGGGGTTAAAATTTGCAACCTTTCAGTTGATAGATCTTATAGTTGCTGATGATTTACCAGCTGTGCTAAACCTCCAGCCCATTTAATGCTTGAGCCGAAATGCTTGAGCCTAAAAATTGGGGTTTGGAAGATAAGGGAGGACAGAATCCTTTATCACCTTTGAAGGAGCTTTCTGTTTCTTATTTCTGCTCTATGATCCATTGCCAACCTGGCAACCACAGTGTCAATTATAATTTGTGCCATGTAGAATTTCACTATCATTTATCATAAGTCCAAACCTTTCCTGTTGTCAACTGTTTAAATAAAGTTATTACCTAGATGTTATGTTATGTCTTTCTCACTTACCCGTTCTTTAACACAAGGGTTGCATGGTCCCCATTCACTCCAATTGCTCAGCAAGCACTCAACAGGTGGTGGGGCATTTGATTCTCTTGGCAGCCTTGTGTCAAACAAGTACACATTATTGTGATAAACATTTGATCAAGACACTGAAATAAAGAGCAATCTTTGGGGCATGACTTTTCATTGGCTCATGCACACATGGAAAAGGATAGGATACTGTGTAATGTGGTTTCGGTATTGCATATGTGAACAAAATGATCTTATGCATCAGGACCATCATATGAGGAAGCAACCTGCACATTTTTTCTTCAAGGCCAGTGGTTCCAGACCTCTGGTCCATGGACCACCAGTGGTCCCCAAGAACTAAAGTATGATCTGCAGCCTCACAGTTACACCATTGAAATGAGAGTGACTGGTCTTGAAAGACTCTCTTATAGTGCCAAGGCAATGGGGATGTCTGGAGGGGAGAGGCTGACTATCCACGAAAGGTGTGACAACAAGCCTCCTGACTGCTGCTGCTCCTCCACCTCCCGGCTCCTGAGTGGAGCTGTTCCATGTGGCACCTGGAAGTGGGGGCACCTTGATGTCCCCGTTTTAGGTCTGTTCCTGGGGTTATTTGGGGTGCTGATTCAGAAAATTGCATTGACTAGACCACATCAGCTCCAGAATATTAAATAAGGTTTTCTGTGGGTGAGCAGATGGTGACTACTGGATGGCATATGTTCTGTATCAGACACGGTAGCTGATGTGGTCTATCCAATACAATTTTCTGAATCAGCAAATAACCAAACTGATCTAAAGCTGACCAAAAATTGATTCATAACCCTTTTGGTACTAACGTTGGAGAGTGGTCCCTGGTCAAAGTGGTCCCCAGACAAGTGGTCCCTAATCAAAGTGGTCCCTGGTCAAAGTGGTCCCTGATCAAGTAATCCCTGGTCAAAAAAGATTGGGAACCACTTTTCTAGGCAGAGGAGTCATCTCCACTAACAATGGATAAGAAGATGGGAATGATAGGAAAAGGATGCTGATGACCCAAGATGAGGTATATTTATAAACATTTAACTTTTATTGACTTCCATCAGTGAAATAAATGAGAGATAGCAATTTCATTTTGCACAGAATTTTCTGTGAATTTCCTGTGAAAAATAAGATTTTCCCTAGCAGGGCATTCTGATACTTGAAAACCCTTTATCAACATTTTAAACAAATAATTTCAGGTATTGTTTCTAAATTTACTGGAAGGAGATCTCTGAAAATTAACTCATTTCCATTCTACCAGTCAAAACTTATTCTGAATATTTGGAGTGGATGGAGAATAATTTGATACACCTGCACTCCATTTAGATTTGGTGGACTCTAAGAAGAATAATGAAAGTCAGCCTTTGTGATACATATGTCTCTTAAAGGCTTTGTGGCTCTAGAGATTAAATATTGTGTAAGCTAAAGTTATGTATAATTACACCCAAGTAAGTACGTATGCCTAGATTTATTTTTAAGCCCATTTTTTCAATTAAAATAGCGATCGATATGGCTAATGGCCATCAATAAAAATAAGAACAAATAAAAAACGGACAAGACAATAACATCATGAAATAATGATGTTAATGAAATAACTATTAAACCCATTACAATAAGGGACAAATAACAATTTCAGTCAAATACTTTTATTGTGCTAGCCAAAATCCATGACAGTTTTAAAATATACAGTTTATTCAAGATAAAAAGTACAGAAGCACCCTATATTTCATATGCAGCAACTAAGTTATCAATAAGCCTTTATAAGTAAGCTCTTATAGATGAATTTCTAATCCAACAGGGAGTGGTGGGTAAGGCAATTTCCCCCCTTTTCCCAACGAGGTTGCCATTATACAGGCATTTTACTCAGAATCCTGGCAACTGACATCTTCCCTATAGTCAAAGTGGGGTTGTCATGTAGGATTTTGGCCTCCCTTCCTTGTCACCATGATTCTCTTGGTTAGATTGGAACATAAAATAAGCAGATCCTATCCCATCTCAGCAAGATTTACATAGCAAATTCCAGATTGTTCAAAGCAATGGCGCTTGAACATTCCACCTCCCCTATTAAAATCTATTAATACCAAAAAGAAAATATTTTTTTAAATCCTCATGCATAGAAATACAAATGTTAACTTACCTTATCCTTTCTGTTGAGACAAAACTATTTATTCCAAAAGTGAAGAGCACCCCTGTGAGAAGCAACAACCCAGACATGCTACCGTTACTGATAATGATATCAGTGCTAGGATGGGGAAAGGTTAGTAATACTGATACTGAGGGCTCTTAATACATCTCTTTTGTTATTTATTACTAGAACAACAAACAAAATAGAGGTAGGCCAGGCCAACTGTCCTAACTTTCGGGAAGTATGCTGGAGTTTGTTGACTATGCTGAAATTGGAGAAGTCCGTTGATTGGGACATTCACCCATAGATAAATGGGAGGAAGAAAAACCAAGTTTTTGAAAGTTATGCAAATAATGAGCAGTCAAGAAAAGTGATTCACTGGGAAAAGAGTGGGGGACTAAATATTCAGCAACAGCAATCTTCACTAGAAAAAAGTGTAAAGAAAGAAATGTGGGAGCACTCCCCAGAGTAAGCTAGACTCTGTATTGACAGTCACCCTTTTCATTTACTGCAAAACCATCACCAGTGTTGCACCAGCATTTTGCGTTCAATTTTAAGATTATATCTGGCAAGTGGTTACAGTGTTCTTTGGAAACCATAGGATCTTCAGTAAATAGAATGTAAAAACATCTTCCTCCTTAGACTCTGTAGTCTAATTGAATAGAGGATAGTTTGGGATCTGCAACTCTAGGCTACTTATCTGTAATTTCAGTACTTGATGATGTTTTCAATTCACTCCTACCAGTGAATGAGGCTGTGAAGATCAAAAGCAGGGCTTCTTCCTCACTTACTGGTGAGAGGGAATTAGAAACATTATTCTCTTGGTAACTTGTTGAGGAAGCTGAAGATATCCTTTGCCAAATCTGGCTACTGGATTTTTAGATGGGCTGGAGGTGGGTGGGGATGGATCAGAAGGTACTTAGATGCATCTACATTTCAGAATTACTGCATTTTGACACCACTTTTAACTGCCATGGTCCAATGCTATATAATTAGGGGAGTTATAGTTTTAACAGGGACTTTAGCTTTCTCTGCCAAAGAGTGCTATGACTTTATCAACTGGGGGAGCCCCTGCCCATGCCGTTTTGCCAGCCGACGGAGAAATGACAGACACGAGGGGTGACTCTGTTGCATTGTGTGCTGTTTTTCCATCACAACACTTACCCCATCACAAAGGGGGAACAATACCCAAGCAGGGCAGAAGTGTGCTGACTCCATTGGCACCAGCACAACACAAAGCAGCCTCTGGAAGTCACACAACATTGTGTGATGGCTGGCATGGGGCTCCATCCCCGAAGAAGGCTTGAAAAGTCCTAGGACACTTATTTTAATAAGTATGATGAGATTCCTTGTGCCTCACTACACTACAAATTCCAAAATTTCATAGCATTGAGCCATGGCAGTTAAAGTGCTGCCAAACTGCAGCCATTCTACAGTATAGATGTGTCCTTAGTTACACAGATGTAACAAAATAGCTGAAGATTTTCCTCAGTCACCTTCTGACTCTTCCAAAGTTTTTAGCTATCAAATTTGTGTGTGTGTGTGTGTATTCCTTGAAGAACCACATAAAATTCAGGGAGCATTTTGATGTTGCAGGGCTGAAAGTGGAATAGCACATGAACATTGTTGTACTGTTGTCTATTGCATCTTCTGTTACTGCTCCTAGAAAAATTCACACATGATCAGAAAGGGACCTGTTTTTGAAATGCTCCTTATACTAACAATTTTAAATTCTGCCTTGTTCCATAAATTCCAACTGCCCTAGTTTTTCAAATTAATTTGTTGTCCCATTTTTCAAGTGCATATGTACCAGTGTCTCCCACTTTCCCTCTTTGCTCCAACTTACTTCAGTTGTTGCAAAGATCCCTTCTACAGTGCCATATAAAATGCACATTATCTGCTTTGAACTGGATTATATGCCAGTGTAGATTCAAATAATCCAGTTCAAAGCAGATATTTTTGCCACCTTTGCCACACCTTGGAGTTGCTTGGCTACATATGTCCCAGTTTTTGTTTGTGATTTTTTAAATATGTTCAATAGAAAGAATAGGGAGCTGCTAGATTTTAACTTTGAACAATCCAAGCACTTTCCTGGACTGGATGACTCTTGAGTGCTTTGTTGTATTCACAAACTTCTTTGTGGACAAGTTTCTTTGTAGTTGCTTCATTCTGGATTCTCCCAGTGTGATCTAAATGTGATTTGGTTGCACACAAACTTTGATGAAGCACTCGGTAACGAAGACCTTGATTAGATCAGTTTAGTCATTTTTTAAAGATGGGAAGAGAGATGTTTGATTCTTTAGCAACACTCTCTGTTAAAAGAAATTAAACATTTACTAGTAGCATTTTTTTAAATATTGACATGGCAAATTCAAGATGAAGCAACTTCAGTTTCATGCCACTGTGGGATAAGAACAAAATATAGAGAATCCACTTATTTTCATAGTGTTCGTGGAATAATGTTTAAAAGAAAATGTATAGAATAACTATTCAATTTGGATAGCCCTTCGCTTAACGGTACTGTGGTAGTGCAGGATATAATGTGTTGGAATTAGGAATTTATTGCATAAGGCAGGCAAATTACAATTGCAGCAGGACAACAGTATCTTCGCCTTGGACGTATTACATGATATTGCTCCTTTCCGCTACCATCCCGAGGGGAAATAGCACAGAATGTCTTGCTTTTATGAACACAAATAATCTGTTAAAGCTCTGTTTTTGTAACAAAAATGCTTTCCAACAGTCTTCATTAGAAAAGCAGCAGGAAAGGAACAACATTATGTGATAAATCCAAGTTAAAATGCTGTTGTCCTGCTGTAATTGTGATTTGTCAGTGAGAATATCCTCTTTGGACACCTTCATACTTAATACAATATGAAGGCAGCACCATTATGTTTATATGATGCATACCATGAACACACAATGCCAATTGCCAAATGCATTAAGGCAGTGGTTCTCAACCTTCCTAATGCTGCGACCCCTTAGTACAGTTCCTCACGTTGTGGTGACCCCCCAACCATAACATTTTCATTGCTACTTCGTAACTGTAATTTTGCTACTGTTAGGAATTGTAATGTAAATATCTGATATGCAGGATGTATTTTCAAATCCCAAATACCCAATATGCCCAAATTTGAATACTGGTGGGGTTAGGGGGGATTGATTTGGGAGCTGTAGTGGCTGGGATTTATAGTTCACCTACAATCAAAGAGCATTCTGAACACCACCAATGATGAAATTGAACCAAACTTGGGCACAGAACTCCCATGACCAACAGAAAATACTGGAAGGGTTTGGTGGGCATTGACCTTGAGTTTTGGAGTTGTAGTTCACCTACATCCAGAGAGCACTGTGGACTCAAACAATGATGGATCTGGACCAAACTTGGCACGAATACTCAATATGCTGAAATGTGAACACTGGAGGAGTTTGAGAAAAATAGACCTTAACATTTGGGAGTTGTAGTTGCTGGGATTTATAGTTCACCTACAATGAAATAACATTCTGAACCCCACCAATGATAGAATTGGACCAAACTTCCCACACAGAACCCATGACCAACAGAAAATACTGTGCTTTCTGATGGTCTTTGGCGACCCCTCTGACACCCCAAGGTGACCCCCACAGGGGTCCCGACCCCCAGGTTGAGAAACACCTCATTAAGGGTTTAAACTCAGCAAATAATAATAATAATAATAATAATAATAATAATTTATGCCCTGTCACCACCTCCCATAGGGACTTGGGGTGGCTTACGAAATAGCACACAATGGTGCCATACAACACATAAAATGCAATTCATCAACATATAAAATCAGTAAATCAAAGGATAATCAAAGTCAGAAATAAAGCCCTTAATGGACATCAGCAAATTTCAGTGTAGATCACATCATATGGCAAAACCAATTGATGGGGTTCTTCCATGTATGTGAAGCCACAGTTCCTATAGTTTCCGGAACCAGTTTGAAACCAGCCTCTTTGATGGGCATTCTGGAACAGCCTCTGACTATTCCAGGATAAAGATAATACAAGGTCCACTGATAGAAGGAAACAATTATCTTTTGTCATCAGGCTTCATAACAACTTTTATCACTACTTAAATTGGAGATATTCTTGTTAGCTCTGTAATGCTATCTCAGGGACAGTAGCAATGTATCTTTAGTTTCTAATTTTGCTCAGAGACAGTTTCCATCCTTTTCAATTATGCACTGAAAGACCATTGAAGATATGTTGTGTGATATGTTGGCAAGGGATGGGTCGTAGCTAGGCACTGTCCCTAAAGAGCACGGACACATTTTACAAATTCATAACACAAATGTACCATATCCAACATGCCATCTACCCAAGTTTATTTTGGAGTTTTATTTTGAATACTAAACCAAGTTTCAGTGATTATTTGGTATATCTTTTATATCTCCTTAAAAGCAGGATGCATAGTGCATAGATCCAAGGGTTGTTCAGACTGTGTGTCACTTTCCCATCAAACACCTGCCAAAAGACATAGAGAAAAATCAGGCACAAGAGACACAAGATGGAGCTATCAACATACCAGGAGGATAGGTGGTTTTTCAGACATACAATCCTAATAGCAGCAGCAATACACTCCCAGGAAACAACAGCACACACAGGAAACAGAATAATGATAAGCTATGACTTGAAAAAGAATAATAGGGTAGAAGGAGGAATGGAACATCTTCCTTTGAGGGAATGACCAGCTGGAAATCTAATGAATAGCATTGTTTCTAGGAATCTGTGTGGCAGGTTTTGTTTGTAATACCTTTTGTTTCCGAATGTGTTGAAATTTTACCTGGAAACATTTTAGCCAACTTCACATCTCAAGACTTTATTATGTCACTTTGTGCAGAAATTCAAACTCAGAAGTAGATATTGATACAGATATGTGTAGCTATAGTACACAATCTTTGCAATTTGTTGTGTGGCCTGGAATTATTTTCCGCATACGATGCCCTTAAGTTGAATTGACCTTTAGCTTTCTCTGCCATGGAGTGCTGGGTGTCTCACCAAAATGCAACTCTAAGAATCCCATATACCATTGGGTCATGGCAATCACATTGTGGTGTCAAATTGTATGAATTCTACAGCGTTGGTTCACCAAATTCACCACTATATATTGTGCCTTTATTGCCCCAC